GTCAATCTGGTTTTACTGCGGATATCCTCATTTCTGAGTCTATCACGCAGAGAAACTCCGAGCATAGCCCTCTCCATAGCTCGCTGAGCGACCTTGAGCGTCCTCATACGGCCAGCAGTGAAGGACCACGTCTCTGATCCGTAAGTCATCACTGGCAACACGCACTGGTTGTACACTTTAGTTTTCAGAGATTGAGGTATACCTGACGAGAAGATATGTCGTAATTTCCCGAACGCTGCCCAGCCGAGTTGAATCCGTCGATTGACCTCTCGGTCGAAGTTGGACTTACCTAGTCGGAATATTTGTCCCAGGTAAACGTACTCGTCAACAACTTCGAGCATAGTGCTCCCAACAACTACCGGCATAGGTGTGACATGGACATTAAACATAATCTTTGTTTTGTCCATGTTCATCTTAAGACCTATCCGTTGGGAGGCACTATTGAGGTCATTGAGCATAGTGCTTAAGTCCTCCAGCGATTCTGCCATAAGGACTATATCGTCGGCAAATCGAAGGTGAGTGATGTACTCGCCATTGATGTTAATACCGTATCCTTTCCAGTCCAGTAGCTTGAAAACGTCTTCCAAAGCAGCGGTGAAGAGTTTCGGGGATATAACGTCACCCTGTCCTACACCTCTCTGCAGTTGGATAGGTTTCGAGCTCTGGTTCTGTACTCGGATAGCCATCGTAGCCCTACTGTACAAACACTTCAGCACTTCGATATACCGACAGTCAACTTGGCACCGCTGAAGGGACTGCAGCACCGCCCAAATTTCGACGGAATCAAAGGCTTTCTCATAGTCCACATACGCCAGGCAAAGTGGCAAATTGTACTCTTCAGTCTTCTGTACAATCTGCCGCAGGGTATGTATGTGGTCTATGGTACTGAAGCCTTTTCGGAAACCGGCTTGTTCGGGAGGCTGGAAGTCGTCGAGTCTGCGTGCGAGACGATTCGTAATGACTCTCGAAAACAGCACGTAGACGCGGCTCAGAAGGGAAATCGGTCTGTAGTTCTTCAAGAGAGCGTTGTCGCCTTTCTTAAAGAACAAGACCACCGCACTTCTGCTCCACGCCTCTGGAGTAGTGCCACCATGGAGGACGGAATTGAAGAGCTTCTGAAGGACTTCAAGTACCGGTGTTCCACCCGCTTTCAGAAGCTCCGCTGTAATTCCATCCTCGCCTGGGGCCCTGCCGTTTTTAAGGTGCTGGAGAGCCATTCTAATCTCGCTTAGACTGACGTCCGGGATATCATCGGAATATAGTGCCGTGTAGTGGCGGTTAAGAATATCCACTACCCCATATCTTCCCGTGGGTGTCGTAAGAGGCGACAGAGGGAGACAGGCAGGAGATGGGCAGCAGCATCTTCCTGATAACAGCAACTGTACGACAAAAAAACTGCGGTTGCCAACCCGCTCGCCAAGCGTGGCAACTATGGCAATATACCCCCCATGAACAATTATTTTATCTGTTTGTTGTTAATTGCGTTATTTTGTTGTTAAGTTTGGACGTTGTGTTGTGCCGTTTTCTTGTGACGCTTAGGAGTTACTCCGCCTTTTTTTATTTTTAAAAAAAGATGGGAGGAAAGACAATACATAGCCAAGCATGGACACTTGCTCTAAAAGTTTTAAAATTTTTCGAAGATGAAAAATCAAATAAAAAGTTTCTTATTCCTGTGGACCAAGCTTTAAAGAGGGCTTGTGCAGCAACAGGCATATCAAAGGCAACACTACTAAGAATGAAAAACGAGGCGAAAAAAGTTCAGTCAATTTCTCAACTCACTTTCACCCTAAGGTTGCCTGGGAGAGATTGCTTTTTAGCAATAAGGTCGCCTGTTATGTTTTGTATTTTTATTGTGTACGAATCTGTAACACTTTTTATAGTGCAATAAAGTGTATAATAAATAAATTAATAATATTATAAATGATAAAGTGTGTATGTTTATTTCTTTGTCCTTCCTTGACGCGTTAACTAAAAATAATATTATATATATTATAAAAAATAAATATTTAAAATATATAAAAATGGCAACAGTATATCACTTATTACTTCACCCCTTGCCAGAACATTTTATTTTGTTTTTATTAATAATCTCATGCAAATCTCAAAAATTTCAAATAAAAAAATATTACGACGCATTATTTTGCACACCGTACATTGTCAATTACGTCATCGGCCCAGGTCTCAAGTTAATTCGTACGAGTTATAGGTATCCGAGCACTCTTGACCCTCCCCTCTTCGAGTAATTTGCTCACATGGTCTTCGAAAGTTAGTCTCAGTCTACCTCGACACCTTTTAATATTTACTTTCGCTCTATATATTTTCTTCACCATTCGGTCTTCACTCATTCGTTCAACATGCCCAAGCCATTGGAGTACGCCCCTATCAATTTTATGATAAGGTTATCTTTCAATCCTGCCATATTGCGAATCTCTTCGTTTCGCTTTCGGTCGGCTATGGTAACGCCGCACATTTTACGAAGAGATCGCATCTCCACTGCATTCAACTTGCTTTTATGCTTCTTCTGGCATACCCAGGTTTCGCTGCCATATAACAAAGTCGGTACCAACACTGCATTATGCATTGCAAGGCGTGCACTCTTCACCACGCCTTGCCTTTTGACTAATGCATTCAGGGCACCATTGACTTTGTTTCCGGCAGCGACACGCCTATCCACATCTAAATCACATCTTCCATCCCGGCTGAAAGCACTTTTAAATTGTATATGTAGTAGATTATCCTTTTAAATTGTAAAGAAAATTAAAAAATCAAGTACCGGACATCTACTTCATAATACTAGACCAAATTGACATATCTGCATTTTGTTATAAGCTATTTTATAGTGAAATTTATTTTTATTTTAATTTATGCAAAAGGCATTTCCGACATCTAAAATCAGTGTGGTAAATTCAAACTTAACTCTAACAAGCCTACTAAACTAAAAACAATATTAAAATCAAGCACCGAATGTCTATACCCAACCATACCTATGTTCAGTAGTGGACTTTAATAGGCTATAACAATAACGGTATATGGGTGATACTGCAAAACACCACCTAGCAGCTTTGAACTCAATGGAAAGGTGTGCTAAGAGAATCACTTGTGACGTCAATATAGTTAAATCTAACCCTACCAGTCTTAAGCACAGGTACAAAGTCAGTGTTTCAGTGTTTTACTGGATACATTTCGGAGGGTAAGTGCAGGAATGGCATTACCTAATTTCTTCCTCTACGCTCCATTATCAGAAAACCACTGACTGTGCTTAACTGATTTTCACGCACTTATTGTTTACTCACCACACATTAGACCAAAATGATTTGCTTCATGCTCATTTAGTCACAGTTCGCCAGCTTTTGTCTTTCAGTTTGCCATCTTGGGCTGCAATATTAGCAAAAACTTGGTTGACCCTGCAGGCCATCCCTAGAACTTCCCGCTAATTTCAAATGCAAAGCGCTCCAAATTTCACCAAATTATGACGTTGAATATATGAAATATTGGAGTTTAATTTTTCTGTTAACGATGTCTCAAGATCACACATCAAACGATTTTGGACCGGGGGTGATCAACGTTGTTTTTCAAGATCAGCTTTTAAAGCTGATTATTTTTTGGAATCGATCAATAAAGCCGTTTTAAAGTTATTCCAAAAAATGGTGTCATAATATTTTTTTGAGATTTCTCAAAATCTACCGGTCCGAATTAATTAAAATTCATAGCAAATCTACGTTTGATATAAAATTTTGGAAATCCGCTTAGTTCATTTCAATAGGTCAAGCCGTTTAAAAGTTATAAGAGGTTTACATACATCCAAACACACAAACGCGCACGCGCACGCACGCACGCACGCACGCACACACAAAAATCTTCAGGGTGGCTTCCTGTGACCTAAAAACGTCAAGATTTGAAAACTCAATTTTCGAAAAAACGGGGTAAAATCAATAACTTCCAGATTTTTGGAAATTTTCAATTTTCTTAGCAGGAAGTTAAAAAAGGTAACAAAATTCTTTTATGCTATTCAAAACATTTGTAAGATTTTGAATTTAAATTCATTGAAAAAGCTACGGCAGATACTTTTGTTGGATGAGATTGGAGATAAACAACCTTTTTCATAAAGGCATTTTTTATAAAAGTAAGCATGACAAAACATGTAAAATGTATTAAAAATATGTTTATTATGTTCTGTAAAATAGTTTTTTGTTTACCTTACAAAGTGGGAGGATACAATAAGTTGAAAAAAATGGTTCACTGCTTTGGATCAAATGAACAAACTTTTTTTAAACAAATTAAATTGGTTAAAATTTAGTTTAAAAAATTGTCTTTTTACTACCTAACTTTAAAAATAGCTAAAGATACTGAATACAGAACTTATTGTAAACACTAAACAAAGGACAAAACCAAAATACAAAAAAAAATAATGCAAGTATTTACGAAATACTTTTAACTTTTTCTAAAGTTTTTATGCTAACTTATTTCTAAACATTACAATAAAAATTAATAAAGTTGACTATCAAAAGTTAAACTAAGTATTAATGTCAAAGTGTTTAAACTATAATATAAAATAATTATCAAAGTAATTTCATTGAATTACTATAAGTTGTTCAAAACCAGGTTCGATCCTCAGCAGCACCAATAAAATTATTAATTGCAATTTTAAGTGTTGATTTACCATATACTCAGCAGTGAAGTAAAACATTGTGAGGAAACCAGCATGTCTGAGAAATAAGAAAAATTAATATATATTTCGAAGACATATGAAGTTCACTAACACGCATTGAGGCAGCTCAGCACAGTTCCTTGCCCTAAAAACATCTCAGAAATGAGAGGCCTGTGCCCAGCAGTGGAGTGATATAATTAAGACCCAAAAGTACAAAAGATTCATTATCTTTTAAGATTAAAGATCATGTCCAGGTTTGTTTATTTTATATTGCAGTATTTTAATTTTATATCTAATACTCCTATCACATCACCATTATATAATTGAAATATGTAAGAAAAAATAATCTTACCTTATATCTTAAGACTTTATAGGCATCAATGAAAGTGGTACCCTCAAGTAGACTTGCTCTTTGACAAGCTGCAATAGACTCAGCTTCACATCTTGATGCAATAAGATTAGTTAAGTTCTGTCGCTGCATAGAACATATCCATGCTGCTTGCAGCAACTCCTGGACGCTTTTTTCCACTTCCTCGTTGAGGTTTTGAAGCAGCTGTCGCTCAGAATTAATAAATATTTTCTCTCGACGTAGCTGATTAGCCAACTCCGCAATGTTCATGCACCCTTCAGTTGATGGCTGCATCATAGTGGATTACAATCACACAAACTTAGCAACAATACATTTTGTAAGTGATAAATAAATAGAAATAATCACGTCATTTCAGGAATATTCTTTTAGAAATTACTTATTACTTCATTACAAACGTCAATTTATGGAAACAAAAACACTTGATTATCTGTCAAACGACTATTTTAATAATTATTTTTAACGATAATATACACATTAAATATCTTAAGTTGTAAACATTTTATATCGAGAAACTAAAAGATACGTATGATACGTATCACAAAAATGATTTATTTTGAAACTCTTTGAAACAACATTTAGAAATATATGGAGTGTAGAGGTAAGGAATACAGACACTGTATAAAAAAGTCTCCGTAGGAAAGCGTTAAATAAGGGTTGCGCCACTATAGCTACAGTTTAAATTTAAAAGGGCTTTTTATATTTTTTTTTATTGCACGCACTACGGAAAATAATTATTTTATTGCTTTAAAAAAACTTATTTTCAAAATCACTCTCAACGTATTTCACGGCGATTTAACATACCCAGTAGCTACTCGAGCGCTGTAGTGGAGAGTTTTTGAACTGTTATTTACTGCTTACAGATGGAAACTTTTTCAACTAGCTTGCTACATATTTATTTATCTATGTTTGCAACAATTCTCCTATGGGAGATGGTACTCCTTACTTCTACTGTGGAATGTAGAAGTAAGAAGTACAGACTGTATTAAAGTGTCCATAGAAAACCGTTAAATAAGGGTGGCACCACTTTAGCTACGGAGTAAATTTTAAAGAACGCGCCGAAAAATAGTAGTGAGAGAGAGAGACGACTGTTTCGAGATTATATTTACTAAATAAAATTATTTTAGATTTTAGAGCTGCTGAGCAATTTAGCAGCACACTTAAGCCGTCGACAACTGCTAAGTTCATTTCATCCCAGTAGCTACTCCAGCGCTGTTTTGGAGAGTTTTTGAGCTGTTATTTACTGCTTACAGATGGCCACATTTTCAACTATTCTACTATGGGAGTTGGTACTAGGGATGTTCGATGATCATCGATGTTAGAAATTAAAACATCGATGTTTTAACATCGATGTTGCCAAATGTTAAACATCGTAACATCGATGATGCCACATGTCAAACATCAAAACATCGATGTCAATAAGCCAATAATTGATTAATAAGAACTTGTGAACAATGCGAACCCGCGAAATCAATATCAACTAAATATTTCACCTCCTATTAAAGGTTTAAAATTTTGAATTATTTAGGATTCTTAAAGACATTAATCACCTGAAAAATATCATGATGTTGTGTCAAACTCCCTCTCAAGTGTGAACCGTAACGTCACAGTTGTCACTGCTTTCGCTTTGTTATTCTGTGGTATCATTGTCGCCTGATAACTATTCTACATAAATGGATATACAAATAATGTTTTTTCTCTTGCTGTCTATACACACATAATTTTGAAACAATATGAATATACACAATCAATTTATATTTAGCTGTTTTTTGAGCTAATGAGTTTATTGGTTGCTTGAAGTTTATGAAAATAAATCACTGGGCGATTGTGAGCGTAGAAAATTTCACTGCATAATGCATTTTACAGTGCATTTTATAAACAGCTGTGGATACTTACTGTTTGGGCTGTCTGAGAAAAAATAGTGAACAAAGGTGACGGAAAAGTCTAATATTTTGTTTTTGTGAAATTTGCTAATTCGTCCTCTATAATCATATTTTTTTATTTCGCGATAGGAGTGGTTATTATAGAACCTACGTCTAAATCGTAAATTAGGTCTCATAGTAAATTTTTTCGTAGATTTTTGGTTGTATAGGAACATTTGAAGATCAAAATAATAACATTAATCATTATCGGCAAAAAATATAACAAATGAACTAAGCATTTGTTAAGTTTTGTCCATTTTTTAATTACTATTTAGTACTAAATGTTTTATAAGTTTCTTTCATTTCATTAATAATAAACTATATACTACACTATAAATTTTTTGTTCATCTAATTTTAACCTACTAATTAGGTACATGTGCAATAACATCGATAATGGCCAACATCGATGTTCTAAGTAGGATAAACATCGAACATCGATGTTAAGCTATCGATATCAACATCGATGTTATCATCGATGTTTCTGCAACATCGACCATCCCTAGTTGGTTCCATGCATATATAGAAATAGAACTGAGCACAGATAACTATATACTAGTCAACGCTAGTCAAGAACCATAGATTTTATTGTGTATATACTAGAGAGTCAAGAACTGAGAATGAGATTTAAGAATTAAGTTTATGAACATTGACACTAGGCTTGTCAATATAAATCGTTTAATAATAATCGATTTTTAAATTACTATAATCTACTAGTTTAAATATTAAGCAATATATTTTTATCGGTTAAAAGTGCGTGAATTATTTGATTACATTAGTAATTTTTAGCTTTAATATTTTAATTTGTAAGTGATGCAATTAATGTCTATTCATATAAACAATTATTGCTTCGATAGTGAGACCAATGATAGGGCACACACTTTCTATGTTGGACTATTAGATATTTTACAGATTAAGACTTAAATGATGTGATGAGCCTGAGCCTGAAGACTGAAGAAAAAATGTTATTAACATAAGACTAAGCCATGTTTAGTTTGTTTGTTTCTGAAGTGTAATATTGTAAAGTTTTTGGCAAATTTTAACGAAAACACTAATCATTTTCACATGATTGACGTGGTAGAGCCACGCTGCAGCTATGTTATGGTTGTAGCACGAATGGGTTGACTCGACCGGGGTAGTACCACTCTCTCACAGAATACCAGCGTAAAATAGCAGCTAAATGCTGCTGCGTTTCGTATGGTGAATATTGAAATCCTTTTAATAGAAACGAGGCGTTCAATGTAAGTCCTCAGGGGTGTCTATGGGCCACAGCTCTGTGGCCCATAGACCCCCTGAGGACTGTATCATCATCATCATCATCATCATTACAGCCCTTCCCAACAAGTCCACTGCTGAACATAGGCCTCCCCCAAGGAATGCCACAAAGCACGGTACAGAGCCACCTGCATCCATCAACTTCCTGCATGTCTTACCAGGTCGTCACTCCATCTAGTGGGGGGTCGCCCTACACTACACCTACCGGTACGAGGCTGCCACTCGAGAACCTTTCTTCCCCATCGGTTTATTTATTTATTTACTTATTTATTTATTTATTTATACGGTACACCAACAGCAAAAGACATGAATACGTAATGTGTAGCTTATTATATTATAATGGTACTGAATACAAAATAACTTTTATAAAGAAAAAACTAACTAAGGAATGAGTGTGTGCTGAGAGGGTGCAAAAAAATTGGTCAATTTTTTTTGAAGCACCGGGCAGAGTCGTTGAAAATGTCGATGTCCGGTATCTTGGTCATAATTTCATTGTATGTGTTACATATTCTGGCTAGGGGATAATGCGCGCCTAAATTTGTTTTGTGGCAAAGTATGCTAAATAGTTTTCGAATTGGATATCGAGGATATCTGTACGGGATAACTAATTTGATGCGATCGAGGAGGTGCGTACTTTTGATTTTGTTATGCAGTAACTTGTGTAGAAACATTAAGTCGGTCACGTAAGGTTGTCATTTTGAAAAATGCTAGCCTCTGACTATAGGGGTGTCTATGCGATATGCCTGGAGTTGAAAAGGCTCGCTGAGAAAACGCACTATTAACTGGGTTCCATGCAACATTTGCAAATTCGAGGTGACTACGTACTAGTGCATTAAAAAGAACTTTCTTAGTTTGGACACATCGGAAGCTTTTCACGTTTCTTTTTAGGAATCCCAACATACGAGTCGCCTTTTTGACAATATTATCAGTGTGAGCGGTCAGTTTCAGCTTACAATCCAACAAGACACCAAGGTCCCCGATCTCCCTCACCTCCGCCAAGGTCACGTCACCCAATGAGTAGTAAGTAGTGATGGGGCGTCTTTTTCTGGTGTAGCTTATGTGGTAGCATTTGTTAGGATTTAAAATCATTCCGTTGATTGCTCACCAATCCATGAGTTTGTTTAAGTCAGATTGCAGAAGGTCAGCATTCCCGGGATTTTTGATCGTTCTACTCAATTTGAGATAGTCAGCAAACATAGATACACTACTGTTTTCAATATATGTAGCTATGTCATTAATAAATGTCAAAAAGAGTAATCGCCACCATTCCCAGGTTCCTCTGATGAGCAGTCAACGAGAGAAATTGACTTTGCCAGATCGCGCTTCCTCAGGGTAACATTTCCGGAGTGCGGTCCCAAGTCTCCAGTAAAAGTTGCCAAGGTCTCTCGTTTCCACAAGGTCGCGACGAGCAGCAGGTTGGATGGGGCTGTTAGTATTATCAATTATTAACATTAAAAAAAATTATTAACATTATGGACACTTCCAACTATGCTTGCGAGATGAATCCGGTACATAAAAGCTATTAAAGCGGCTTTGAGATATATTGGCACAGTTTAAATCATATTTCATTTTGCATAAAGCGCATTCTAAGAACTCACGGTTCTGTATGATGTTGCGGCAGCCAGAGCATATACCAAAGTTACTCGCAGTTGATGCCATCTTTCAATCGTTAAACAGTCAAAAAGCAAAAAAAAAGCAATTTGTAGTAAGAAAAGGTAGTAAAAAACAAAAAAAATGTGAACCTACTGAGCTTGAACTCGGTGACTTAGGTAGAAACGCTATGCACAGTGAAGTTTTGGCCACTACACCAATCGTCTTGTTACGCAGTGGCGTGAAACAAGCGATATGTATTCTCGCCTACAGTTTTGTAATGTCGACAACGATGAACAATCCAAGTCTAACTTTCTATTTTCAAGGTCACGTCGCGCACGAACACGACAACCGATGATACACAATTGAATTATTACACTTGATAACGTATATTTTTGTGAAAATCACTTGATTATCTCTATTAAATGTTCATGTTTTATTCAAATCACTGCACACACCGAAACTTTCAATATAGGTTTGAGCTAAAAATACAC